TAAAGTTTGAGAGTCAGCTGTACCGTACTAGCCATTGGTTGGGATAATATTTTTAATTTATACTAAAGACCAGAGAGAAGTCATTGGTGATTTGATGAGACTAAAAGAATACTAAAGCCTATAACGAATAAAAACAATAGAAAAAAACAAAAATTAAGATCCTTTTGAAAGCATTACAGTAAATGCTTTGGATAAGTAACAGTCACTGTAGAAATAAATGTGAACATTGGAAAAATTAATGAATTGAAATACATAAACACCTCACACTCAATATTTTATGAAACTTAGAAAAATCAATTAATATGTTTTACCAGAGATTCTTCAAAATTTTTCATTGAAAATGAAGTACATATTAGTGTGAGAAATACATATTTTTATAGTAAAGGCAGTAAAACTTTTAACCTAACTTAAAACAGGTTAAGTAGAAAACACAGCTTCTCGCATTTGTCCTATGCCACTGGTTATGCTGATTTAAGCTGCCCATCTATAGGCTATCATCTGTAGCTCTCTATTTGGACTATATTTTAATTCCCTATAGATTTCAACTAATTGACCTTGAGGGAAAGCTGAGTCTCTGTGACAATATGGTCTTCAATCACCACTGCCAACATAAATAAATGGTTCCTCTCTGGATCTATCAAGAGTAATCTGAGTGGAATTTAAGTTTTTGATAGACTTTGAAAAAAATGAGCCCAGACATGAAATAATACCCTTTTCAACAAAAGGGCATAGGATTTAAACTAAGATTCATGTAATAAAATGTGTTTAGCCCTTTATATTAGAAATTGGCCAGTTATCTTATTGAAATCTGGACAATTCCCAATTTGATTTACACACTAATGAATGTGATTTGACAGTATCCTTCACTACTGTGAGTGAATAAGTACTCTTATTCACTAAAGTGTCTAAAACACTCTCTATATAACAAGTTTTTAAGTTCTTTTAAAATGCTAATAAGTTTTTTTGAGTCTCTTTGAGTCTGTCTATAGATCACTTTATTTGAAAAGCACTCCTGAAATAACATTGTTGATTTTCATATACATTAATTTCTGTGAGTTTTTTATGCTTATCTAACCAAATAATTTTCCACAAAGGAATTTAATTTCTTCATCAGTAATAAGTCAGTGCATTTTCTTCATAATATATGCCATCTCCTTTTCCACTTCCCTGCATAATTGTCCAATTGCTATTTTTTCCTGTTTACAAGTAAAACTTTAAAACTTCAGAGAAAGATAAAATTTAGAATGCAGCCAGTACTTGAGAAAAACACACTTGTTCAATATGAGGCTAAGAATCAAGGCAATGACAAGGAGACTACACACAAAAACAAGAAAAAAAGTGAATTGTTATTTGAAACAGGTAATTTATGCCAAAATATCTTCCCAATTTTAAGCTATCTAGATAGGTATTTATTTCAGCTCACATGTAACTGTGAGATAAGCACAGACTGGAAAATTTCATAAAAACAGACTATAGGAAGCCTTATTTCTCACATTATGTAAAAACAAATGTGAAAATGACTGGGTTTAAGGGAGTGAAATGGAAAAGTAAATAAAGCCAAAACAGATCTTGTTTTATTAAATCTATTTTTCTAAATTACTGTGTAGACAAGAGCAATTTTATTGTTCATGTAACTTCCTAAGTATCTAGCACCTGTTAACTTCTGTTGTGAGAGGATTTGATATGGCTTTGTTTAGACTTGTATACTGTTTATTGGTGCATCTATTGATCATATTTGTTTAAGCCTTTGAGTAGCATCTCTTGAGAATTGTCCATTAATATTTTTGTGGAGTAAAATAATGATCAGAGCACTTCTATTTAGTTTACTACGTATCTTAGTCTAAATTCATCCACAGTTGTATATTTAACAATGATTTATTCACTGTCTACTACAAATAAGTTTATGAGCGGCTTGCAGTAAGCCAAATGTTAACCCCACCCCTACCTTCAAGTAATACATGAACCTCAATGCATGGATCCTTAATACATGTACTTATATAGCCATGATAGAAGATGGAAGGTGATTTGTCCATAGAAGTTTAGTTTCATAGAAGAAGGAAATTATTTTCTCTGTAATAGAATAGGGTGAGGTCCTTAGAGGAGTTAACATCTGAATTAGCTATTAAGCAATCAGTAGCATCTAGTTGTGGTAAAACACCTGGAATGGGAGAAACTAATAGAAAATATCGGTGGTGTAAACAGAGTAATGTGAGGGGTAGCTATAAAGAATAATGTAAAAAATACAGGCACAATTAGAAATGCTTTCACATAATAATATGAAAAGAGAATTATTACAGCCTTTATACTATTAAGGATTAATTTATAATTTGAATTGAAAACTAGAAAACCGACCTTTTGATTACTCTTTATTCTGGGACTCTGATTAGGAAGAATAAATTATAGGAAATCTCCCTGCTTAATTTAGCACAATCTAGTCTTCCCAGTTTTGAGTAAAATTTAGGATATTCTTTTAGAAACAAACAAAAAAAATCACTCTGTTTATCGGTTTAGAAACAAAAAAAATCATTCTTTTTATCAGTATCAATTGTAGAATAGATCTGTAGAAAGAACTTGAGTTTTACAATAAAACTAGAACTAGCAATTATAATAGTAATGATAGCAAACAACATTTATATACTGCTTCCAAAGTCAGGGGTAGACATTTCCTAGCATTTTATATACATGAGCTTGATTTACAAATATTTGCCCTACTGTCTAAACTGGAAACTAAGAAAGGTTAAGGTAACTTACTCAAAATAATATAGCTGGTAATTGTTGGAACAGGTATTTGAAGCCAAAAAGGGCACTGTACTTTCTAAGAATTACACAAATATTCGCCCAAATCTAATAGCTAGCCAGGTACAGTTTAAAATCACTATACACCTAAAACAAAACACTCTAAATCAACTACACTCCAATAAAAGAAAATAAAAACAAAACAAAATCCATATCTCTAGAGAGATCTTTCAAATGTACAATAATAAAATCAACCTTCTGTGGAGTTCCTCACTGAAAAGACACTATAAAGATAAAATATTAATAATTTTTAAATAACAATAGGTCATTAATGGAAATAGAACAAGGATTTGAAGAATAATAATCTGAGCTATTTCTTGCTCTACAAACTAGTTCTATATCAGGTTCTAGATAGCCCAGAAAAAATATTTTTGCCAGTACTACCTCAAATAATCCTGGATCCTCTGGGAAAAGAGCATCTCCCCACTACAGGATGGCTATCTGACAGTCCTTAAATAGATAAATCATAGGCTTGTCACTAAAGCAGATGTGGTGTTTGAACTTCACCATTCATACAATGAATAATGTTCCCTGATATTATAAAAGTGATCTCTACAGAACTCAAGAATTTCCAGTTCTGCATGGTAACAGAGACATCGATCTTGTTAATTCAAGTATCTCATTCATTTCTATCTTAAGCTCAGTTCTGAAGATTTGCCCAGCCTGACCCCCATTCCTTTCCTGCTTCTGAGGAGAATCATGGCATAGGAACATTAGGATACCACCCTGAAGAGCTTGGGTAGTTTAGGTCTTTGTTGTTCTTCACATCCGACTCTGCAATCCATGGACCACAGTACACCAGGCCTCCTTGTTCCTCACCATCTCCCGGAGTTTGCCCAAATTCATGGCCGTTGAATATTGATGTGGACCTAGCTTATGGTTGCCTTTTCTTGCTGGTCTTTGCTGAGGGGTAATTATTTTCTACGGGGATTGATTGTTGCCTGAGTTCCCACTGCATGTGTCGGAAGTCGGGACCTCCAATTCATATACTTCATCTTCCTATCCCCAGATTAAGGAATTTTCTGATTCAACATCCCATTCAGTCATCTCCATTATCCATCCTTCTCCAGGGGATCTTCCCCACCCAGGGATTGAACCGGGGCCTCCCGCATTGTAGGCAGACGCTTTACCGTCTGAGCCGCCAGGAAAGTCTTTGCTCTAGTAATGCTATTTATCACTGTGATACCATGCTGATTGTGAGCTGCTCTACGAGGCTATACCCTTTGGAGCTGAGAGATACTTCCTTCTGCCTGGGGACACCTACAGCATTAACGAAGAACTCCATCGTTCTTCTTGATAACAGTTACCGCAGCATCCCTGTATTTTTCACCAGTTCCTCTACTGTAATAAAATATACTCTGACTCATGTTTTCTTCACTGAACAAACCCCTCTGTGACCATTTTCATAGTATTTATTAAGCCACATTTTCCATCTATTTTTTCATTTGTCCTTTACTTCAAAATCCACATCCTCTTATATTTGTCACTTAAGAAATATAGTAAAATTATCCCTGATATTTAAAATTATAAACTTTGATAAAGGTGTATGTTCTTCATTTTATTTCACACTTCTGCCTTTTGTGTTTTTTTGCAGTGCTAATTTGTTGTGCATGACAAATGTGTTATTAAAGATATGCCCACCTCTGAATTTGGGCATTGCACAGTCTATTTAGCTGCTTAAAATTATTTCAATTTTTAGAGTATAAATAACTTGACTAATGAACTGTCACAAAAATGTATATCTAAAGTAACTGAAATGACTGTCATTTTTTATGGCTATATATTCACAAAGACTCACTCAGGAAACAAGATTTAGGCAATTTGATGTCATTTTTTCAATCACCCTCCTTTATTCAGAATTCTTCATGGGCAAAGAAAAATGTTTAATTCACATTTACATTTTTAGGGCAATAAATACTATGCAATATATTAAAAAGTGACCTGTACTGATGTAATGCCCCAAATGCCTAGCAATATAAAACATTACCTTCTTAGCTTGAGAGAAAAGCCAAATTATTATTTGGCCATATTTGGGTCCAAATAATATAATTTCAAAAATGATGTAGAATTTAAAATAATGATCACATATCAGTTAAAGGTATAACATGTTATAATTGCTGATTTACCATGTTTTTCTAATTTTAATCTAGAACTCAGAGCTCTACCCTCAACTCATAATGCATTTAACACAATCTCTGTTGCAGGTTACTTAGTTATAGAAAATCCATCAAGTAAGTTTGTTAAGTATCTTTTCTTCTTTTTGAATACCGACTCTAGATTCCCTGATTCAATGAATCTTAATGTGTGGTTCCTTTTTTGTATGTTTGGTAGAAAAACCTCCAAGCTGGATATAAATCATAAAAGCATGACTAATTGCATGGTAACTGGAGAAATGCTTTCTCTCTCTCTGGGGTGAAGCCTGCATGTCTGTATTTTAGCTTGGGAAGTAATACAGGGATATTTAAACTCCTTAGGGTTTAGAAACCATGTCATTATGAGAATGAGGTCACTGCAATATTTTATATCTTCTAAAACCTTGTAATGTATAAAATGTTCTCTGTATGACAAAGAGGTATTATATGCATTAGGATTCAATGATAACTTTATGCCCTTACATTTACTTGAAAAACTTTCTTCATTAAAATGTGCAATCATTCATTTAAAGTCACTTAAAATTTGAAGGATTTCTGTACCATGAAATACAGAGAAAATGAACTCAAAGGGGGAAAGCTAATTTTATAAATATGACAGAGTGCCTTTAAAGGGCTGTGTGGTTTTGAAATGTCCTGTCCTCTAACTGGTCAACTATAAAGGCAGTGTCCAAACTAAAGGAAAAGAAATGAACCTAACATAACTCCATTTTATACCTTTCTTTGCTTGGAGGCCGATAAGCAAGAAATCCTTCCTGCAACATGTTGAAGAGCTTTGCACAAACAACAACCTAAAGTTTCAAGAAGAATTTTCGGTATGTTACTAGCAGTTGTCACAACATTGCCAGACCTCCAGTCGTTTCATGTGTCACATTTCATGTCCAGTTTAAGCTTGCAAGGCCATGAAGGACTCTGGCCGTGATAATCAATACCCAATTACCAGGTTGATTGTTTGGATAGTAACATTACACTAGCAGCCTCTGGTGCAACCTGAACAGAATTATTCACCTACTGTGTCGGGAAAAGGTGCTGCTCCTCAGACTTCGCCCAGCAAGGGCAACCTGGCCCCGTTTGTTCTCTGCTCATCACCCAGATGTAGAAGCAATGCTAGAATGCTGGATGCATTGGTTTTCGTGTGTGTGCAAGGTTTGGGTGGTACCATATATTTCACTAACTTTTAGATTTAGAAACTAAATAATTTCATTTCATATTTGCCCGCTTATTAGTTTATGTTAGTGGTATAGATGAAACTGAGAACAGAATTTGATGTTTCCAGAAGTTATAAAAAAACAATGTTTTTTTAGAACTGTACAAAAATAGATAAATAACACCTGTGCTTTACAGGCTTATTTTTAAGTTATCATGGAATAAGTGCTCTATCACATTAAACAGAATATACGAAGTTAAGAACTTGTCACTTTAAGACTATTTGAAAGTTAGAAGATTAATTTTATTGCTTTTACCATTTTATATATCTACAAAATTAAAATTACATTAAAACACAATACATGTATTAGATCTATAAGCTATCTTAAAATTTGTGAGCCCCTTTCCTGACTTATTTTATATTAGAAAAATAAAAACAGATTTCTAAATGTTACCAAATATCTGTTTTTTCACGAACATTTTAGTGTGTGAACAAAGACTCAAACAATTGGCTTGGATAATTCAGGATTGTAATATTTCAGTCTCTCAGGGAATAATAACAAAAATGTGAGAAGATTAATGGTATTTCCTACAGCTTTTTGGTTATGCTTCTTAAATATTCATCTGGACTTAAAAAAATCATTGGTACCATAAAACTCCTCTTAGTATTTATTCAGTAAGAACTTTCAATTTTTTAGGAACCAAAGGGTAGTTTCATTAGAATATAGCGAATTTAGTTCCATTATACATGACTGAGTATCTGAAAAGTTTTATTAGCAATAACATTTTCACATATACTGAGAAGGTTTCTAGTTTAACTATGTGGGAGATCATGGTTTTAAGTACTTGAGTTTTATATATATATATATATATATACTAAGTAAATATATATAAATATGTAAGGATGTGGCTTTTTTAGATTGCTTTTAGTTCTGCTGCTGTGTCAATTTTTAAAGCAAAACTGTTTTAATAAACATGCATCTTTGATGCATATATTTGATAAACCTTGTATTCAGGTCATATTCACTTACACTTTAAATATCAATAAGCTCTTACTTGCACTAGGCATTGCTATATGTCAATTCAGCATTTTATAGCTAAGTGACCTTGGGCAATTACTGAAACTCTGTTCTTCAGTGTCCTCCATCTGTATCTGTCTTATTGAGTTGTGAATGCTAAACTGATTGAATGCTGTGTAATGTGGCTGGCACAATAAGCATGTTATTATAATGATGATTTCTACCATAACGAAGCTCCTATTTATGATAAGAACTGCAGGCATGTCTAAGAAATCGCAAATACACAGTGTCATGATAGAGATACACAGGAAGAAGTGAGCATCAACTCTGTCTGAAGAGCAATCAGAAAAGACTTTACTAAAAAGTGACCGGCCAGATGAACTTTAGGACAGAGCAGAAGTCCAATGAGAAGAGAAAGGGGGAAAGGTATTCTAGAGAGAAAGAAGAATGAGAAAGCATAAGGATGCAAAACCATCTCACTCAGCTGTGATCCACTAACAAGCAGAAACAGAAGGAGAAAGAGCTAAGTATCTAGGAGGGCTGGTTGAGGCCCCATGTGCCCTGATAAGAAGACCATTGAGTGTAATATTACTAACCAAACAATCGGCCTGGTAACTGAGTATTGATTATCAAGGCCAGAGTCATTTCAACCTATAAATGGAAACTTCTGTAAACACAGAATAGAAGGTGATTCCAATTCACCTTTCTTTTCCCCTCTGTTTGTCTCATATAAATATGCTGATATATACTCCCAAAGCCTGACAGAAGGAAGCTGTTCTAGGATTCCTCATTTGGTTAAAAAGTTTTTTGAAGCCTCTGGTGCCAGAACACCAGAATTCAGATGCTTAACCTTGTCCCTCCTATCTAACACATAGATACATGCAAAAGACTGTCCAGAATTCTCAGAGGAAAAATCAGGGAGAAGGGAAAATTATCCAGTGAAAAAAAGTAATCTTTAATAATGCTGAAAAATTGAAAACCCCACAGTTTTAGCACTTTTAAGGGAATCTGGTAAATTGAGACATTTCTGATACGGAAAATTATAAATTTCATAAATGTAAATCATCAGCTTGAGAAAATAACCTATTTTCTTGCACAGCTTTTTAAATGATCAATGGATATCATGATTTTCCACCAAAATATCAGTAACAGATCTCCCTGACACTCCCTCAGCGTCTGATATTTCTTAATCCCACCTTTGCATTCTGCTATCGATTTAACAATGCCCACTGAGAACAGGAATTGACCTTTGGCATCTTCTCAAACTGACCAATGTTGTAGCAATTAATAGGCATGAAATCACACTGCCCAAGGAGAAAAAACAAAAAATAAATCACCAGTTCTCTTCCCCTACTAAGTAGATGTTAAAATATTAAATAATACACAGGGACTATTTGATGAAGCCATCAGTAAAATATGAAAGGCAGTTGCTAGCATGGTTGCCGCACCTCAGAGCTTCACAGAGGACAAAGAAGCTACGCCAGAGAAAGCAGGAGCCCAAAGGACCAGTGCTATTCAGGATATTTTCAGTGTAAATTCATGTAAGTTCTTTACTGTTAATTTGACCCTGCTTCTGCAGTTATGAGAAGTGTTTTCGTTTTAAACATAAAAGGACTTAGAATGGCCTTTTGCTAAGTGGAACTTTGTGTTGACCTCTGAAATAAATCTAAACTTTGCAATGACTTCAATCCACAGGAATTACCAAAATTTCTTCAGGATCTATCTTCAACTGATGCTGATCTGCCTTGGAACAGAGCAAAAAACCGCTTTCCAAACATAAAACCATGTATGTGTACATACTATTTCTGGTTTTAGATACTGAAAGCTTTTCAGATGAGTGCAAAATGCACTTTAGCATTCTTCTTAAATATGTGTTACATATTAATTGAATTAGAATAATGCATTTTATTAGCAGCAACTTATAAATTGTATCTCTTTGGCTTTGTTAATATTGACTAAAGTTAATGTACATGAGTTTCAGCTTGTTCACACAAGGTTTTATTCATGCAGGTGTAAGAAACTGTAGCCCTAGTACTTTCTGAGCTTTGTAATTTAACCCAAGGAACAAATCTCTCTAATGTCTTCCTATAGACCTAGTTCTCAAATGAAAAGAGAAAGTTCACGTGTAACTGTGCGCATTACTTTCCTTAAGAGCATGGCAGTGCTTTGTAAAGGAATATAAAGAAGTGCATTGCAAAATATTTGTTGAAGATCAGAGTAATGTGTGATCACCAGGGTTGGTTTTTGCAAGGGAGGAAGGCCTGTGCTTTACCACAGTCAACATTTTTCAATCAGTAAGAAACCATAGTATATGCTACACTGTTATTATTAGTCCTTAAATGTCATTAAAATGAATGTGTATACTGACGTGGAAAAAAGAAACCATATTATTGATGTAAGAATTAACAGTAATGTGAAAGAAAAAGCATGGCAATCCTCTTTAAATGATGGCTGTGTTTGCTGTATTTTTCAACATATTATCCTACTAAGTATATTCTGATTCAATACATTTTTACATTATGAAATTAAAAAGTGATATGTTAAGTTCTGAAATGTCAATATTGTTTCAAAGTCTAGAGCTGTAAAATATTCTTAATTTTAGAGTTAGTATATATATTTTTTTCCAATGTTCTATGCCTTTTCAAAACTGTATTGGGGGAAATTCCATACATATAAAAATTGAACTCTTCTGTCTAGAAAGACACAGACTTTGATAAATATGTAATCACAGAAGGTAAAATCATAAGGATATGAATAGCTCCCCCCAAAAGGACCATATTGTGTTGTTCTAGAACTAGAGGATAACTGAGGCATGAAGTAAACAAATTTAGGGAAACATGATCTAGAAGTCAGTAACCTAATGGAATCTGTTAATTCCCAAGAATTAGAAAAGGATGAAAATACAAATAGCTTTAATCACCTAAAATCCTTCCCGGAACAAAACAAATCATAGGTAAATGACTTTAAGAGTAAGTTGACAAGGCATCTTTGTAGGAAATAAGGAATGTTAGTATTACATCTCTAAATTCCTCTGGCATGACCTTTCTTAATAAGTCCTTTTGTTTTCCTTTCAGAGAGTTAACCTGGGTGGGATACATCCTAAGTTTAAGAGATATGGAAAGTCTCAGGTTTTTATATTCATCCATATCTAAATTTTCTTCAGATTCTCTGCTTCATGCTTAATGATATTCTGTGAAAATAAATACTACAGTCTGATTGAAGAACAGTTACTATGGAATATTTAATTTTATTTATAATAATGTATGTGGCTGAAGTAATGTATATCACTGTATATCATTATATATAAGTAAATTAAACATATCTAGCTTATTTCCAAAGATTGAAGCATATCTGACTTTAAATATACAAAACTTTGATATGTGAGTTTTTTATATGTAACATTTTGATCTTTTGTTATTAAGATTTCAGTGCATTATTTTCTGGGTTCACATAATGGCCATTAAAGTCATACAGTGCTAGCTTGCTCGCACTTACAGCATAAGAAGAATATAACTAAATAAACATCCTTAAAATAAGGAGAACTGAGGAGTAAGACAATCCCAATATCTGAGGCTAAGACAAAAATAACTAGTGATGCATAAGACAATAAATAACTGTAAATCAAGGATGTTTGGGAATATCATGAGCGTTGCATACTTTTTTCTCACCTTTGCTAGAGTCAAATGGAAAATATCCAATTGTTTTCTGTTTTCTTCTTGATTTCAGTACAGAAAACTTAGTAATTTTTCAAATAATATACTACATCCACATCCAATATCCTTTAGTGGGTTTTGGGATAAAGTTTTTTCTTAACTGTCCTCTTAAAGTATTGCAATGCACAGTCCCTCACAAATATATTTTTGCTTCTCCCACAGAAGGACTTAGGAGATCAAATGGTATGAACATTTTTTTGTCTCTTACATACATTGCCATGTAGCTGTCTAAACGGCTGGTGCTAATTTATGACTTAAACAGCAATAAACAAGAAAAACAATTTCCTTACATTAAAAAAAACCCAAAAAAACCCCAAAACTGGAAGTTCTATAAGAAATAATTTTATTAAGCACAATTTTATACTTCTCAATAATTTTATCAAGAATTTATTAATTCAACTAGTACATACTACCTGCTGTATAGTAAAATGACTAAAAATGTGGGCTCTAATCAAACTTCCTGGGTTGCATTTCTGTTTACCTAACAACTACTTTAGTTATTGGACATTATTTAGTAATGTCAACTGTATAACTTTAAGGATTAGATAAAATAATCATGTAAATCACTTTGCCCAATATAGAACACAGGAAGCTCTCAATCAATATTAGTTCTTACGATTGTTAGTAATCAGTAAATTGCTTATTTTTAAAAGCCTCTAAGTTTCTGGGTGACTAAAATTTAGTTACAGGCCCTTAGGGTCTATGGTCTGGAGATAACAAACCAACTTCCCTAATCTGGGTTGGAAGACAAGCTGTAAACTCACATTTGCTCATACGGACAAACAGACCCACATGCTCCCAGCTCCCTCCCACCATCACACACACACATACACACAGAAGATGCAATATTTAAACTAATATATTCTCCTATTGTGTTTTCAGAGAAGCCATAAAGCTGAAGAAATGTTTTTTCCTCCCATAGAGAATGAATTCATTTTAGTAGAGTCGGAATTTTAACATGAGCCAGCTAAGTGAGATTCATTGTCTCCCCTGAGTAATGTAGAAAGAAGGATTTCAAATATCACAGTGCATTTTAGAACATATTAGCTTACAGGGCTTTAAGATACTAGAATTAGCAGCAAATGTGTGCAGAAGAGATTTCCAAATCTCTGTTTGACAGTACACTATGACCTTGAGAAGTGTTCCAACACCATGAAGAAAAGTTTAGCTTGCTGTTGACTCAGTTCAGTTGATTCGGATAGTTCACTCAGATATTGAGTGAATAGAAACCTGCTGGCTTCCCTTTCTTAGTTACATGACTGGCCACGACATCATTAAAATTGGCACATCATGCCAAATTCAAAATCTTTGGGACAGAAATGGTTCACGTAATCTGCTTAAATGATCCCCCTTCTTTAGATTCAAACACATTGGTTGGGTCATTATACTTAATGATACAGCAAAGTCATTTAACATAGAACGTGTGCTTAATTTTAAGAACTTGAGAATGTGTTCTGTGTTCCATACAGAGCTATAAGTTTTGTAAGCTTTCATACGTTTTCCTCAGAGGATTCTACAAAATAAATATTATACCTGTATGTTATAGCTGAGGTAACAAACAAGCAGAGAAGAGAAACGATCCACCCCAGGCCATAAATGGCAGATAGACAGCATCTGGAGCTCCCACTCAAACCCACTGACCCATTTTTGCTCCCTACTGAGTGCCTTCCCAGGAAGATTCGTTTTAAAACTTTAAGAGAATTTAGTGATAGATGACTTTGTATCATTTCCTTGTCTAGTGAAAATTAGCACTGGACATTTCAACTGTAATACCAATTTGTCAAAAATTCTCAAGGAAAAATAATTTTTGATACTTTTCTTTGAAGAAGAATAATGGGTAAAGGGTTATCTAATTTTGCTAGACTGTAAAACAGTCTGAATAACAGTAATTCAAAGTTTGGTGTGAAAGAAAGAATAGGCATCTAATTTAAAGAAAGAGCTCCAGAAATAGACCTAAACACAGAGAAAACTAGTGTATGATAAAGTGGTATTTTGAATAAGGGGGTAAGGATGCACTATTTATTGTTCTAAATGGCAACAAGCAACAAAACATAGATTTTCCCTCATTCTGTCTCCAAATAAAAGAAGCCCAATGGATCAAAAATCAAAATATTTAGAACAAAAGCAATAAAACCTATTAAAGCTCTGGAAGACACTATGAATGAATCTGTGAAGATAAGAATATTGGTGTGACAAAGACTTTTGTATGTATCACGCAGAAAGCCACAGTGAAAAATGAGAACTTTGATTACAATATATATAAATTTTCTGTATGGCAAGATAGCTAACAAGATAAATTGAGTGACTCAAAGACAAATGACAAACCAAAAAAATTTCAATACATGTAACATTTTTAGTATAAAATATTTTTAAAATAAAAAATAGTATAACATGAAAGGCAATTATAGAAAAGATGTTTAAAATGGCCAATACACAAGCAAAGAAGCTCAACTTCACTCATAGTTAAGGCAATAAAAATAAATACTAAGATAAATCAACTGGTATCTCTCAGAAGGTCATAAATTAAAATGTTTAACAGTATCTCATGGCAGTAAAAGTGAGAAGAAACAATTGTTCAAACTGTTCAAACACTTGTTCAGAGTGAACTGATATAATTTCAGAACAATTCATCAGTCTTTCAAATTTGAGAAGCACAATATGCTTTGGGAATTTTACTGCTGGTAATGTATTCTACAAACAGACTCCAACATAAATGCAAAATTTCAGTTATTTATTCAGCATTTTATAATAACAAAATGATATGATTTTCAATTATCCTGAAGAGCTAAATAAGTATGTTATATTCATACAATGAAATACCATATGGCCTTTTAAAGTAATGAACTATTAGGTCGGTAAAGGTATTTGTTCAGGCTTTTCCATAACATGTTATGGAAAAATTGGAGCAAACTCTATGGCCAACCCAATAGATATTGTTATTTGCACGAATATGGAAAGATATGGCTAAATAATTTTATTTTGCAGAATAGAGGGACTAGCACCCCATTTGTGGTTAATTTTATATGACTATGTATAGAAAATCCTGGAAATAAATATGAGAACATATTAACAGTCATTGTCTTTAGGTCATGGAAATATGTATGAGAGGGAACTTCTACTTTAAAATTTTATAGCCATCTGTAATTCTCGAATGTTATATCACCAACTTCTTCGTATTTTATAGAAAAAAGTATGGTAATTTAAATAGCAAATTAGTATTAATATCTTATCTTTCCTTCTAGATAACAATAACAGAGTGAAGCTGATAGCTGATGCTAGTATTCCAGGATCAGATTATATTAATGCCAGCTATGTTTCTGTAAGTTGCTATTTTATGTATTTTTTAATAAAACATAAATACAATAATGTTACTCTTCCGGCTATTGAAAACAAGAAATTCATTACAACCTCTATAGATTTAATGTACCAGTTTATTACAACATTATGTATACCATGTTTTATACATGAGAAAGTGGAAGCTCCAAATAGAGATTGCAATTTACCCAACAATCATTTCACTAATAAGCAGCAGATGTAAAACTTCAAACTACATATCCCCTGGACTTTCCACTGTTTCTGGTGTTTGTCAGACGATCCTCTGTATACAATGAGGTCAGCCAATTTTTCAAAGAAAATTAGTCAAATGGAGAGTCATGTCCATATAATATAAAAACCCACCGTGCTCTTCTTCAAGATTTTCAGTCCTTCAAGGGAACCATGATGCCATGTTCTTTCCACCCTCCGCTACTTAGAGAACGTGTACTCTTTTGCAGCCACTCAATAAACACATCTTAAGTGATCCAATGTGGGGTGAACTGTGATAGGCTTAATATACTATGCTGCACATCACAGACAATACATTCTTGCCACATAGGATCGAAAGTGGAACATAACCAGAGTTTTCCAAGGAGCCCTTTCTCCATGACTCTTGATCTCTCAATGCTCACCACTATCTTAGGTACACAGAAACCTTATATGCACCCAAGACCTCCACTTGGGTTGACACAGCCATGACATCTCAGAGGAGGAATTGCTCCTGTGATTATTTAATCCAGTCACTTAAAAAATCTTTGTGAAAAATGACTGATAGAGATCAAACTCTTGGCACTGACTCACCCACTTCCTCCCTAAGGCAGATGATTCTCTCTCTGAGCTACTCCAGGATACAGTCGGGGTTTGTTTTTAGAAAACTGCAAGGAAAAAGCTTAATTTCAGAAACTGCATTCACCATGTATAAATATACTAAACATAGTCAATGCAAATTCAGATTAGTAATAAGTACAGTATTTTAACAAAATGCCAACTTTTCTAAAAGGTAATAGGCAAGTCAGTGACTTGTCTCACCCAGAATATTTAACTAGTTTGAATTAAGAAAATGAACTCTTCTCTAGGTGGGAAAGGAAAGGATGGAACAGTACATAAGCAGAGCCCCAGTGGGACCAAATGAGACGGCAGGCCTGGGCGAGACGCTGAGGCAAAAACTTTGAAGACGTTTTACTGTTAAAAGAAAAAAAAAAAACTTGACGACTGATCCTCCATCCTGATGTCCCTGAGACTCTAAAATACCCCACTGACGGCTGAATCTTCAATATTATGAAAAAGAAAACCTAAAATAACTAACACTATTCTTACAACTATAATATAGCAATCTTCTTCCCTGTTAATAAGCCACCTCTTCTAGAAAGAACTGAATACATAATTTGATCAAATATAAATATGGAACACTTCATGAATTTGCCTGTCATTCTTGTGCAGCACCCATGCTAATCTCTGTATCTCTCCAAGTTTAGCGTATGTGCTCGCTTACAATGAATGTGCTGCCGAAGCAAGCACATACAGTTTTTTTAAAAACAAGATGTGTACCCTTAAATCTTCACCACGGACTTCAACTCTAATAGGTAGCAAGGCTAACCATGGTTCTCATTATGATTCTACAGATACCTGAAGCCTTCCTTTACTGCCCATACTCCCATTTAAAAAAATTTTTTTTTCTTATCCATCATCTTCTCGTCTAGGTCTGCCATTTCATTTGGTCCCACTGGGGCTCTGCTTATGTATTGCTCCATCCTTTCCCCAACATCAAACATAACCTGTCCTGTGTCCCCCTCCCCACAAGCCTCTGTTAAGAGGGAAAAGAATTCATTCATTCTAAATTTTACTTTGGTTAGTAATTACTCCAAAATGACAATTATACAGTGAGTCTTATCTACCAAATAAGTAGACACAAATGAGTACCTCATAGCCTAAAAGGTTCAACTAGCTACGGGATGACAGTATAGGATATGAACATGATTAGGAAGGCAACCAGACAGTTTTAGGAGGTATAACTGAACCACCCAGATTACATAAACAAAGGAATATTAATGAACTCCCAGTGTTCCCTCTAAATATTATAAGTTTTCAGGAGACAATCATAAGAAGAAGATAATGCAGAATGAACAATAAACTAAGTCTGAATATATATAGAATATAAACTTTCTTCTGTGGTCAAGTGATGTTGCAATATAATAAACCTTACAACAAAGTCGCTATGACCCAGATATAATGATACGTATCATCCTTACGGAGCTGCATAGTAAGCAGGTGCAGATGGAAAGCACTTTACATTAAGCCAAGTTTCAGTATCAAAGTGGGCAGTATATTTATTGCTTTTACTTTCAGGGCAATCTCCTTTGTCTGGAATGTCAGGAGAAGATGGAAATAAACTCATAGGACTGTAGTGTCCTCTCACTTTTCCATCCCCAAGTTTAGGCAGTCTTCACTTCACAAAGAGTAAAGACTTCTCAGAATGAAGGACACCTCAGTTTCTCCCCACTCCCCAGTTTCCCTCCATGGCACCTCTGTGTGAAAGTTCATGAACACTTGATCCAGGAGCCAAAGATAGAGGCCATCTACAAATGGACTCTAGATTCCTATTTCTTTGGATGCTAGAGGAAAAGGGAGGAGAACTATAGAGCGAGAGAAGAAAGCAAAATAGGTAGTGTTTAGATGAGGGGGAAAAGTGAAATCTGAAGAAGGGAAAAGGGAGTACTAGTACGTGGTCTGAAGTATGTGCTTTGAGGCTAGGAAACACCAGGCCAGGATCTGTAATTAGATTACTGTATGTTTACCTCTCAGGCCTTGGCTGTTGGGAATTATACTCCTAAAGCTAGGACTCAGTGAGAAGCTGGAAATTTTTGATTAAGGATGGACTGTGGAAGAGAGGTAGAGAGGAAAATACATACTGCATCCTTGTAAATAGCCAATAGTTGTACAAGTGAGTTTAGAAATGTTTTCAAGAGAGCGAACAAGAATATTATGTAATGGGACAAGAGGAAGACTCTGACCCGCTAACCCAAATTATCTCCCCTGTCAACCTAAGATGCCTGAAATTACTTCAGTTTGAGGATAGCTTTTACCATAGTTAGACTGAAGATTAAAGGCTATGATGCAAATGAGCCATAATCATATCAGAAACATCAGATTTGGTCTATGCTGATAGAAGATTATAGTACCAAAGGATGTTGATCCCTGAAACAGGGAAATGCAGATAACTAGGAGAAATATTTTATAAATTGATAAATTACCCTTAATTGTCCTCACCCTTAAGACACTTTCTTCATTCAGCTTCTAGGACAACATTCTCTTGATTTTCCATCTACGCCTTTGAATCTTTCATCTCAGCCTCTTTGGTTCTCTCTTACCTCCTTGCCTACCAAACACTGAAATTATCTAGAGCCCATTCCTTGAATTTGCTGCTTCTTTTCAAACTCATTTCCTTGATGATCTCAACCATTCTTGTGATTTTAAGTAAGATCTATTTGCTGACTACTTTAAAATTATGTCTCTAGTTTGGACTTCTTTGTGAACTCCAAACTCATATACCCAATTGCCTTGATGACATTCCCACTTGAATATCCAAATGGGATTTCAAGTTTAATATGTCCATTGTGAATTCTTGATTTTCCTTTTAAGTCTGCTTATGCTAGGTGTGGGGAAAAGGGAACCTACCTACCTACACTGTTGGTGGAAATGTAAATCAGTACAGCCAGTATGGAAAATAGTATGGAGCCTCCTTAAGACACTAAAATTAGAGTTACCATATGATCCAGAAATCCCACTCCTGAGCATGTATCTGGAGAAAACTCGAATTTGAAGGATAAATGCACCCCAATGTTCATAGCAGCACTACTGACAATAGCCAAGACATGGAAGCAACCAATCTGTCCACTGATAGAGGAATGGATAAAGGAGATGTGATGAGTGTGTATTTATATATCACATAGATGGTATATATGTGTGTGAATATAAGTCCACACAGAATGTTGGCCATAAAAAAGAATGAAATAATGATATCTGCAGCTACATGGATGGGCCTAGAGACTGTCACACTAAATAAAATTTGTCAGAAACGGAAAGAGAAATACCATATGATATTACTTACATGTGTAACCTAAAATATGATACAAGTGAACTTATTTACCAAACAGAAATAGACCCACAGACATATAAACCAAATTTATGGTTACTTATGGAGAAGGAAATGGCAACTCACTCCATTGTTCTTGCCTGGAGAATCCCAGGAACGGTGGAGCCTGGTGGGCTGCCGTCTATGGGGTCACATAGAGTCGGACATGACTGAAGTGACTTAGCAGCAAGGGGAAAGTGGGTGGGGAGGGATAAATTAGGGCTTTGAGATCGGCAGATACAATGTACTATATTAATAAATAACTCTACTGCATAGCACAGGGAAGGATTTTCCATAAACTGCAATAAACTGTAACAGAAAAGACTAGGAAAAAGAATATGTATTATATATGTATAACTGAATCACTTTGCTTTACACCAGAAACACAACATCGTAAATCAACTATACTTCAATTAAACAAATTTTTTAAAGTATGCTCATACTGAAGACTTTTTTCCCCATCTTTATTTGGAATCGTTACTGGCTCCTATCTTTCTTATACCCAGTATCCAATCCATAAGCAAATTCTCTTGGCTCGGTCTTCAGAATACACCTGATTTTATTACCTACCACAATGCCTATTCCTATCACCCAGACTGCATTCCTGGGTTGGATTGTTGCAATATTCTAACTACTCTCCTTCCTTTCCCTTTTTATACCACTATCAGCTTACTGTATAGTAACTAGAGTGAAACTATTAAACACACTCTATGTATGTTCAGAATATTTCAATGGCTTTCTATGTCATCCAGAGCAAAAACCAAACTCTTCTAATTACCTGCTCCAGGGCCTAAAGCACTGCTGCCTCCCGCTCTTGTTCTCTCCAACGTCACCTTCTTGCAACTGTCAAAACTCCCCAGTTGCAGTTCCTACAATTCCAGACACATCTCTCCTTTAATGCTGTTACACTTGACTTTCGACCTGGAACACTTTTTCTCCAAATCTTGATGGGGTTACCTCTTTCTGCTTCAAGTCTTTCCTCAGATTTCACCAATGAGCCTTTTCTGAACACCCTGTTTTCTGAAATTCTCTCTCATACCATTTATCACTTTAAAAAAGCTATATGAATTGCTCATTCAATAGACCTGTTAACAGATCTAATGTCTATTTCCCTTAACTAGAATATAAGACAAATCAGGGTAGGAATTTGAGTCGATGATGAATCCTCAGTTCCTAGAATAGTGCCTGGCACACAGTAAGCACTCATAAATATTATTTGAATGGAGGAATGTGCATTTTAAAGGCTGTAAAGAAATTAAAATATTAATGGTGCTTCATTCTGGATAATGAGATTACAGATGAACTCCACATTTTTTAATAAATATTTCTGAATTTTCCTAACATCCTACATTGATTGTATAGTACTATTCAACCTAAAAAAAAAAAAACTTTACAATATAATTAATTACATACTCAAGTATTTCAACTGAGACTAGAAACAGAAATGCTTCAGCACATAGTTTTTGTTTGTTTGTTTTTAGGAGACTGAAGGTTTTGTTCCAGAAACCGTCATTGACTAGCACTGTGATTTGGGAAAAATCACCTAAAGTGGCTCACCATTCTTCAAAGTAAAATAAACTGGTTGGATTAGATTTTAGGACCACTTGAACTTTAAGATGTATACTATTCTGTGTAATACTCTATTCTCTGGCTACTGAGACAATCCAATTTAAAAATAAAATTCACCCTTAACCTGATCATTCCTCAAAATATTTCGATGTTTGAAATAGATGTAATTCCATTCCTTTTTAAAAATTTATACATAAACTTTAAGAAAAATCCATAGATGCTACTCACATGGCATGCTTACATTCCAGGTGAATAGACCGAGTTTTGAACAACTTGATAAAACGTACAAGAGCTATCCTAACAGGGTTGAGACAAATCTCAGGTCCTACAATAGTTAAGTGAATCTTCTTATTATCTCCACATTACTCTTGGTTTTAAGCTCTGGAGAATAATTACTAATACCATCATTTATGTAGATAATTTCTTGCAGGGATATATGAAAACATCTGCACATTCTTTAAATTTATAACAATAGCTAGTGGAGTGGGTAAGACAGCTGGCTCTGGATCCAGACTATCTTACTGTGAGACCTTGAGCAAATTCACAGTTCTTAGCTTCCATCTTCATCTGTAAAATGAGGATAATAACAGTACTAATTCATAAGGTTTTTATAAGAAATAGATTAATTGAAAGATGTTTAACATATTGTCTGCCATAAAGTTGTATTATTATTATTCAGCCTTACTCTTTTATTAAAAGTTAGAAATAAACTTTAAGAACATCTAGTTGTATATTACATTATGAGGTTAAAATTAATGTTGGAAATTTGAGTATCTTTTAGCATTCAAAAATATGCAGTATTTTAGAATATTAGGTTATCTTACAACTAGTATGTTTTTCATATGTCTCAAAAACTAAAAAGTATCATATATATATATGTAAATATTGATGCAATGTTGTAATTATATCATTCTAGGGCTATTTATGTCCAAATGAATTTATTGCTACTCAAGGTCCATTACCAGGAACAGTTGGGGACTTTTGGAGAATGGTGTGGGAAACCAGAGCAAAAACATTAGTAATGCTAACACAGTGTTTTGAAAAAGGGCGGGTAAGTTATTTGAAAAGCTTTTCACAAAACCTTTATTTTACATTTGTGTTAATTTATGTGTGATGTTGGGCTTCCCAGGTAGCGCTAGTGGTAAAGAACATGCCTCCTAAAGCAGGAGATGAGAGTCCAATCCCTGTATCAGGAATATCCCCTGGAGGAGAGCATGGCAACCCACTCCAGTATTCTTGCCTGGAGAATCCCTTGGACAGAGGAGCCTGGTGGGCTACAGTCCATAGGGCTGCAAAGTCAGACTCGACTGAAGTGACTTAGCACATGCGTGACAATTTTAGCTAATACTCTGACATATGAATGACTTGGGCATGTATAAAGCAGTTACACCTTAGTAGGAATAACTTTGAACTATATATATATTTTTATATATTTATTTATATATAGAGATATAGATATATAAAATGGTTCTTATAACTGGTGAATTTTCTCTTGACTACAGACCAGATGTCATCAATATTGGCCAGAGGACAACAAACCAGTTACTGTCTTTGGAGATATAGTGATTACAAAACTAATGGAGGATGTTCAAATAGACTGGACCATCAGAGATCTGAAAATTGAAAGGGTAAAAAAACAAAAAAAAGGAAGGGGGAAGTCAAACATGATAAAAAATATGAATGCTCTAAATGTCTAAAGTAAAGTTAATTTCTAGACATATTTCTGTATATTCAGTAATGCTTTTCTATTATCTTCAACATAGAACTTTTGAGTTGGCATTTGCCTTCAATATCTATGTCATGATGTTTAATTCAATATTACTTGAAGTTTATATTAACTAGTTAATATCAAATTCTTAGGTAAACAAGGAAGGAAGCAGGAGAAAACAACTGGATCATTAGGTTTATCTTATTTTATGAAGAAACCGTAAAATTTTATTTAAAACAGGAATTTCTGAAATCACAGGTCTCTATCTATATCTTAATCATTGGATTTTCTATTTAATCCAAAATGAATACAGAATCAATAACATAGAGATCCCACCTTTATTATGTAAATATCTATACACACAGAAAATGATATAAGGATCTTTATACTTTCTGACATTATCAGATACTCAATACTAGTGTTTTGAATGATTTGTGAGCATGTTTATTTGTTAGGTCAAAACTGTTCAAAACCCATTATTCTGGTGTTACAAAATGTTACACTACATTGAATGTAAATACCCTACATAATCATCTGTTTGCAAGATGTGCAACAATCATGCTCATTGTTTGCATTCATACTGAAAGGCAATTTTCTATAGTGCAGCAATAGCAGAAGACTTCTCTTATAGGGAATCAAGAAACCACAGTTTCTTTGTTTTGTAAACTGTCATTTTAAAAGATCACCTTAAAAACCTGGGGAGTCAGCTACATTCAGACTTCGCTGTGATGCTTAAGTAACTTTATCATGTGTCTTTAATATGTCATTCTGTCTAGCATGGGGATTGCATGACCATTCGACAGTGCAACTTTACTGCTTGGCCTGAGCATGGGGTTCCTGAGAACAGCACCCCACTTCTTCACTTTGTGAAGCTGGTTCGAGCAAGCAGGGCACATGATACCACACCCATGATTGTTCACTGCAGGTAAGAAAGGTTTTCAGAACCTTTTGTGAAATACTCGAAACAGGATTTAAACTCTACGTGACCTTTATGTTATCATGACACTATTGATTTTCTAGTAGAATATTAATGTAGATTCAATCCAGCTTTTAGTTTTTAGATATTTTACTGGTTATAACAAATCAAGATGTAGTTTTATAAAAGGTTAGATTACAGAGATAAAAGCTTTTAGTTTTCAGATATTTTACTGGCTATAACAAATCAAGATGTAGTTTTATAAAAGGTTAGATGGCAGAGATAAAATGAGACTGTGGCTAAAAGGAAGAAAAAAAATATATATGCTCATACAAGAGTTTTTATGAAATCTTTATTGGATTATACCTCTCAAAATCCTTAAAATGTATAAAAAATTGTAGCCCACTACTGATGTGAATGAGTCTGGGTGTGTAGAATCTTTTGAGTTTTATGAATAAACTCTTCATCCTTCATTATTTCAATTGAGATTAGTCTACCATATTAACTTAAACTTTTTTGTTAAAACAACTTCCAAGATTTGAGTTACAAAGATTTAAAGAAAATGAACTTTAAAGATCAAATTAAGTGACCAACCCAAGCATGATTCTAAATTTTTGCAAAGTATTCAAATATCTTTCTTTGACCTAGCTCTTTGAACATGATAAATAGAATAAATTAAGGTTTTCACTTTTATTTTCATTGATATTTTATACCACTGAAACACCAATACTCCCCCTCAAAAATAAAGCTCACAATTGTTTAGAATTCAGAGTTCTGGACATACTGATATAATTTATGCTTTCTAACATGTTGTATCTAAATTAATCTCAGCATGAGTCTCTTCAACAGTTGTAGTTTGTAAATGGGAGAAAAAGTGGGTGATAATGCTGTTATATGATTCTACTTACATGAGGTACCTAAAAAGGGGGTAAAAACATAGAGACATAAAGTGGAATTGTGGTTTCCAGGGACTTAAGAGAAATTGAGAGTTACTGTTAAATGGGTATAGAGATTCTTTTGGGGATTATGAAAATAGTCTAGAAACAGATATTGGTGATAGTTGCATAAGACTGTGAATGTGCTTAATCCCACTAAACTGTGCATTTCAATACAGTTAAAATGGTAAATTTTGTCATGTATCTTTGGTTACAATAAACATTTAAGTAATGATTTTTAACCACATTAACAAAGTAATTATTAATTATAGTAACTCCAAAATCAATGGATGGATAATTATTCTAATGGGGATATATATATGTTATAATTAGTGTAGTTAATATTTAATAAAATATTAATCCATCCAGTTTTTAAACTTTTATTTAGATGAAGAAACTCAACACATAATTTAAATAAGTCTACGTTTTCCAGGAATATTTTAGATTTTTTAAATTGTAAGAGTAATACATACAAGTGTCCTCATTATGAGATATCTTTTTCACATTTAAAAACATATAAAATTAAAAGTAAAAACCTCATTCTTACCCTCCCAACTCCATATACTCTCCATACACATAAAAATTTTAACAGACTGGTACATTTTGCTTTTAAAGTCAGTGATTGATTTTCAACTGGCATTATTGATGATTAAAGTGGATAGTAAGCTGCCTGCTGTCTCCCTATTTTACACATACACTGCCACTGGATTATAATCGTGGATTTAAAAATTCACTAGAAAAGTAAAGTACCTTCTCTCTTCTAGACTCAAAAAGAGTAACCTCATCCTTTGTGACTTAGATAAAAAAGCAGAAAAAAGTATGCTTACATTAATAATCTTCAAGTATCATTTTAAAACTTTCTCCTAAATGATCATGGCCAATCCCAACTTCTCACCTTAGCTTTTGACCTACACACTTAGCTTCCAGTTCAACATGACAACCTATTAATAAAATGACCACAATATTCTGAAAATGTAATGTGTCCAAAATAGAATGCTTGGGCCCATCTCCAGACTCACTCCTTCTCATCCCATATTGGTCAACAGCAGTCCATCCTGCTTTGCCCAGAAACCCTAGACTTATCCTTGACTCTCTACTTCCTCTCACATTCTGCATCCAATCCAATAGCAAATACTCTGATCCATGCCCCCCATCCAGTCTCCTTGCTTTTCTTTGAACATGCAGAACACCCTCCCAGTCAGATCTGTTCCCTTCCCTCACCGTCTGGCCGTATCCTGCTCTCCTGTGTACCAACATGGTGCATTTCTAACCCTACTCAAGTTTCAGTGTCAGAGAATCTGTCTCTGATGACCCTGTCCTACCCTATCACCTTTTATCTCCTTTATTTTTATCTTTCACCATAGCACTTATTGGGCATCCCAGGTGACGCAAGTGGTTAAGAGTCTGCCTGCTAATGCAGGAGACACAAGAGATACAGGTTCAATCCCTGGGTTGGGAATATCCCCTGGATTATGAAATGGCAACCCACTCCAGTGTTCTTGCCTGGAGAGTCCCAGGGACAGAGGAGCCTGCTGGGCTGCCGTCTATGGGGTCACACAGAGTTGGACACGACTAACGTGACTTAGCATCAGCAACCCATTCCAGTATTCTTGCTTGGAAAGTTTCATGGCCAGAGGAGCCTGACAGGCTACAGGCCATGGAGCTGCAAAGTAGGACATGACTGTGCGCACACACACATAGCACTTATCACCACTGGGCATACCTTACACGTGTTTCTTTTTTGTGTGGACTCCCATCCTTCCTCCTCTAGAATCTAAGCTCTGTAAGTACTGGAGACTTTGTGTGGTTCACTCCTGCACCCCAGATGCCTAGGGCAGTGTCTGACACTCTAAGTATGCTAACAATGTAATGACTAAGTTACTCTGCTGGGGCATATATATGTGTTATCGTGTTCAGAGTTATGTTGCAATGCTATTTCTTAGGTTGACTCATAGGCACTGTCGACATTCAACTATTCTTTACCTTCAGAAGTAGCTTCTGTATTGTTTTGTACTTTTCAAAGTGACATTTGTAAGACTAGGTGACCTTTTTTTCAGATTTACTTCCTATATTAACCATTTAAATACACAGGAGTCTTGTCTTTCTAATTGGAATTTCTGAATAAATCTTGTCAGGTTTATCAATTAACAGTTTATATGGAGCACATACTGTCCTTCAGTATTAAACTAAATTCTTAAAAGGAAACAGCTTTCCAATGTCATTATCTATGGAAGGAAAAGGAAATTCTAGGGAAAGTGAAAAGAACACACGAGAGTCTATTTATCAATACGATGTAGAAGAAGTGCTATCTGGGCTAAACAGTCGACATTTTCCATGTTTAGCACCCCTACTGGTAACCAAAAATATATTCAAAGTTTCTGGTGTTAAGATTTTTCAGTGATTTTTAAAAAAATATTTCCTGTACTTCTCCAACTACACCTCTTAAAACATGAAAGAGAAGGAAAAGTTCAACTGGTTTATTTATTTATTTTTAATTTATTTATTTTTAATTTATTCATTTATTTTACTTTACAACATTGTATTGGTTTTGCCATACATTGACTTGACTCCGCCATGGGTGTCAACTGGTTTAAAAAAAAACTCCAATATTTGATAGCGTGTTAAAGATAATCATCTTGCTCCTTCTCAACAGTCTTGGGAACAATATAAGTGCAAAGAAACTCCAAAGAAAATCCACTTCCAAATAAGAAAGAAACTATATGTATTTTGTTGCTACCACAGTTTATCTTCTTCTTCACCATCCACATGAACCTTTTTGCTGAATAATTTGCATGTAATTTCACTCTTCCTACAGTGCTGGAGTTGGAAGAACTGGAGTTTTTATTGCTCTGGACCACTTAACACAGCATATAAATGATCATGATTTTGTGGATATATATGGATTAGTAGCTGAACTCAGAAGTGAAAGAATGTGTATGGTACAAAACCTGGTAAGATAATCTAAAACTGCAAGCAGTGTCAGCTCTAGAATTTTTCCTGGGAGGACATTAGTGGCACCAATCTGGTTAGACATGGACTATGGCTTCAAAGCAGACACTCTTTTCTTCTGTTCTAAACCTCTGGGGTGGGGGCGAGGGCTTGGGGCTAGCAGCTGATGGAGATTATAGGAGAACTGATCCACATGTCGCAGTCACCCTTCAGCACCATTACTGATGACTCATCCTAGCTTGTTTGTGCTGATAGGCATGTAGAAAAGAGATTTGTCTTTAGTACTTGGGAAGCACAGAAAATAAATCAAATTAATTTCTTTCGTAAACATGCTAGAAGTTGTAATTGGGAAAAGTTTAAAATATTAACTATTAGGTTGGTCTATGTATTTCACTTGTCCATATTTATCCCTTTTGTATATTAATACTAATAATGTTTGTTACAGGATATTATCAACTATCTGAGAGTCTTTGGTTGTTTTGGTTTGGAAGCAAAGGTATTTTTAAAATCTAGATTTCTGTCATAAAAGAAATCACATAGTATAATGGTAATGAAACTGAGACCCCTCTACTGAGTGTTTAGTAGGTTCCAGGTACTATACTAGATCATTTAAATGTATTATCTCATTTAATTCTTTATTTGTAAAGCAGGTCCAGTGAAACTAATCAATAGGCTAGGTATAACTGGCTCTTCTTTACAAATAGGGAAGCAGATGTTCCAAGAATTTAAGTGACATTCAATGGTTATAAGTGTCAGAGCCAAAATTCAAACCCCAATCTAATTATATGAGGATGTTCTTCTCATATCTTTGGGTTGATATTTTTATACTACACAGATTTTTCTCACAGTAAATATGCAGATCTTCTATAATGGTATTTTCTAGGGTACCAACTAGAAAACATAAGTGGCTTTACAGCCGTTAAAGGTGGGAGAAAACAGGCTCTTTGCTAAAATAAGTTTGAGAAAATTTCTTAGAGCCTCTATGCTAATGTGCATTGACATTTATAAATATAGAGCGCTTGTGAACAACATTTCCCAACTATGACTATGGTATCCTTGAACCCTTTTGACCCCAAAACATGTAACACCATATCATGGAACATTAATGTTCTCAGGAAGATGGGGCTCTAGATCAGAGACAACCAAACTTTTCAAAATGTACAACCCTTTCAGGAGAAAAATTTCAGCTTTCAATTCCTGGGCTTCCCTGGTGGCTCAGATGGTAAAGAATCTGTCTACAATGCAGGAGACCAAGGTTTGATCCCAGGGTGGGGAAGATATCCCAAAGAAGGAAATGGCAACCCACTCCACTATTCTTGCCTGGGAAAACCCATGGACAGAGGAGCCTGGGAGACTACAGTCTGTGGGGTGGCAAAGAGTGACAAATACATACACACATAAAAATACATATATATTTTTAAATGTAGATTGGGCAATTATGTATATTATAAAGTATACACAAATGAATTGGAAACCATGAGGTAAAGGTCAAATAAGCAATTATGACAACCTTGCTAATAGTGATGGTGTGGCTCAGTCTGTAAAGAATTTGCCTGCAATGCAGGAGACCGGGGCTTGATCCATGGGTTGGGAAGATCCCCTGGAGAAAGAAATGGCTACCCACTCTGGTATTCTTGCCTGGAGAATTCCATGGACAGAGAAGCCTGGCGGGCTATGGTCAATGGGGTTGAAAAGAGCTGGACATTACTGAGGACTGGAATGCAAAAGTAGGAAGTCAAGGGATACCTGCAGTAACAGGCAAGTTTGGCCGTGATGGAAAAAACAAAGCAGCGCAAAGGCTAACAGTTTTGCTAAGAGAACGCACTGGTCATAGCAAATGCCCTCTTCCAACAACACAAGAGACTGCTGTATACACGGACATCACCAGAGGGTCAATACCAAAATCAAATCGATTTTATTCTTTGCAGCCAAAGATGGAGAAGCTCTATACAGTCAGCAAAAACAAGACCGGGAGCTGACTGTGGCTCAGATCATGAACTCCTTATCGCCAAATTCAGACTTAAATTGAAGAAAGTAGGGAAAACCACTAGACCATTCAGGTATGACCTAAATCAAATCACTTATGACTATACAGTGGAAGTGACAAAGATTCAAGGGATTAGAGCTGATAGACAAAGTGCCTGAAGAACTATTTTATGGAGGTTTGTAACATTATACAGAAGGTGGTGATCAAAACCATCCCTAAGAAAAAGAAATGCAAAAAGACAAAATGGCTGTCTGAGGAGGCCTTACAAATAGCTGAGAAGAGAAGTGAAAGTCAAAGGAGAAAAGAAAAGATATACCCAACTAAATGCAGAGTTCCAAAGGATAGCAAGGAGAGACAAGAAAGCCTTCCAAACAGAACAATACAGAGAAACAGATGAAAAACAATGGAATCGTAAAGACTACACATCTCTTCAAGAAAGTGAGAGATACCAAGGGAACATTTCATGCAAAGACGGGCTCAATAAAGGACAGAAATGGTAGGGACCTAACAGAAGCAGAAGATATTAAGAAGAGGTGGTAAGAATACACAGAAGAACTATACAAAAAAGATCTTAATGACTCAGATAACAATGATGGTGTGATCAGTCACCTAGAGCCAGACATCCTGGAGTGTGAAAACAAGTAGGCCTTAGGAAGCATCACTATGAACAAATACAGTGGAGGTGATGGAATTCCAGCTGAGTTATTTCAAATCCTGAAAGATGATGCTGTGAAAGTGCTGCACTCAATATGCCAGCAAATTTGGAAAACTCAGCAGTGGCCACAGGACTGGAAAGGTCAGTCTTCATTCCAATCCCAAAGAAAGGCAATGCCAAAGAATATTCAAACTACCAAACAATTGCACTCATCTTACATGCTAGCAAAGTAATGCTCAAAATTCTCCAAGCCAGGCTTCAACTTTATATAAACTGAAAACTTCCAGATGTTCAAGCTGGATTTAGAAAAGGCAGAGGAACCAGAGATCAAATTTCCAACATCCATGGATCATAGAAAAAGCAAGAGAATTCCAGAAAAGCCATCTACTTGTGCTTCATTGACTACACTAAAGCCTTTGACTGTGTGGATCACAACAAACTGTAGAAAATTCTTCAAGAGATGGGAATACCAGGCCACCTTACCTGCCTCCTGAGAAATCTGTATGCAGGTCAGGAAGCAGCAGTTAGAACCAGACATGGGACAATGGACTGGTTCCACATTGGAAAAGGAGTACGTCAAGGCTGTGTATCATCACCCTGCTTCCCATCCCTTCATGCAAATGGATGGGGAAACAATGGAAACAGTGACAGACTTTCTTTTCTTGGCTCCAAAATCACTGCAGATGTTGACCGCAGCCATGAAATTAAAAGACAACACTTGCTCCTTGGAAGAAAAGCTATGACCAACCTAGGCAGCATATATATTACCATATATAAAATATATAGCCAATGGGAATTTGCTGTATGACTCAGGAAACTCAAACAGGGGCTCTGTAAAAACCTAGAGGGTGGGATGCGGAGGGAGACTGGAGGGAGGCCCCAAAAGGAGGGTTATATGTATATCTATGGCTGTTTCATATTGAAATTTGACAGAGGACAACAAAAGTCTGTAAAGCAATTATCCTTCAATTTAAAAATAAATTTAAAAAAGAACCCCCCCCAGGCCAAAAAAAAAGTAGAGACATTACTTTGCCAACAAAGGTCCATATAGTCAAAGCTATGGATTTTCCAGTAGTCATGTCACATGATGGATGTGAGAGTTGGATTATAAGAAAAGGCTGAGGGCCAAAGAATTGATGCTTTTGAACTGTGGTGTTGGAGAAGACTCCTGAATCCCTTGGATAGCAAGGAGATCCAATCAGTCAATCATAAAGGATAGCAATCCTGAATATTCATTGGAAGGATGGATGCTGAAGCTGAAACTCCAATCCTTTGGCCACCTGATGTGAAGAACTGACTCCTTGGAAAAGAATATGATGCTGGGAAAGACTGAAGGTAGGAGAAGAAGGGGGCTTCCCTGGTGGCTCAGAGGTTAAACCGTCTGCCTGCAATGTGGGAGACCCGGGTTCGATCCCTGGGTCGGGAAGATCCCCTGGAGAAGGAAATGGCAACCCACTCCAGTATTCTTGCCTGGAGAATCCCATGGATGGAGGAGCCTGGTAGGCTACAGTCCACGGGGTCGCAAAGAGTCGGACACGACTGGGGAGAAGGGGACGACAGAAGATGAGATGGTTGGATGGCATTACCAACTTGATGGACATGAGTTTAAACTTGCTCCAGGAGTTGGTGATGGACAAGGAAGCCTGGCGTGCTGCAGTCTATGGGGTCACAAAGAGTCAGACACGACTGAATGACTGAGCAGCAACAAAGTGACTAATACTTATATTATCATTAGGTATTTTCAAAAGATAAAATATATACTTAGCAGAAAATAATTCTATTTCAATAGTGACCTTAAAATATATATTTTAAATTATTTATAGTTTTTATAAGTGATCTAGCTCACTGAGAGATTTGATTACATTGTTGTTTTCATCTCTTAATATGGCTATAAGATGGTTATTCTAGGGGTATGAAAAATGTTAGTCCTACCATTTTCTTGTCATTCATTTGTATTTTTCTGATAAATAATATCTTTAATCCTGAGTCTTTTTATGGGAATCTTTTAAAGCCACTTAAATTATGTAATGGTATGTCATCCATATGCATTCCCTTAAATGCTGAAAGGGAACACATGAATGAAGCATCACTTTTCCCTTACAAAACTTCAGAAATAGACTGTGACTTGTGGCCAGGCTTGGCTCCATGAGTATGCAGTCTATTCAAACTCATGGGTCCCCACCCTCAAAAGGGCCTTGCACTTGATTTGATGCCTGCTGCCACTGTTTTGAAAATCTTTATTAATTTTGAGGAAAAGTGTTAAGTCAACTCTTTGCAACCTCATGGACTGTAGCCCACCAGGCTCCTCTGTCCTTGGAACTCTCCAGGCAAGAATACTAGAGTGGGTAGCCATTCCCTTCTCCAGGGGATCTTCCTGATGTAGGGACCAAACCCTGGTCTCCTGCATTGCAGGCAGATTCTTTACCACCTGAGCCACAGGGAAGTCCCAGTTTTGAAGAAGGAAGCTCGCATTTTCACTTCGTAGTAAGCCCCACAAATTTTGTAGCTGGTTCTTATCCAGGGATCTTTTAAGGGCTTCAATATCAATACAACTATTAGTGATCATTAAAACATGAGGATAGGATAAATAGGTAACGTTTTCCTCCATGTTCCTAGGTGTACACATGTACATGGTGAGCAATGTTCTTGGCACTGATCAAGATGGGTTGGCTTTCCTGGATGAGTTAAAGGATGGGAATGAGTAAGATTTCTTTCCTCTGGAGACTAGGTTCAGTCTTCAAATAATAAAAGTTGGATTCTGTCATGTTGTACAGCTTCATGAAACCAAACTTTGTAACAAGTGTGCTCAAGAACGCTTGTGAATAATTTCACACAATTTAGTACTCAGTATACACTATAAACTTCACACATTGTGCTGGAATAACCAGCCAGGGGAAACTGTTGTAGGCTGAGTAGGGGCATGGGAAGAGCATGAATTTTGGAGTCAGAGAATTGAGTTCAGATTCCAGTCCTGCTAATTTCTGGCTCTGTGATTTTGTTTAGTTAACTTCTCTAAGTTACTTCTCTTTTGTAAAATAGCTGTGTTACACAATCTTATTGTATTAAATAAAAGAAAGTATCTGAAAGCACCAAGCATGCAGCAGATGCACGGCATGCAATAAATGTCTGACAATATAGTTGTGCCCACTGCTTTTGGGGATAAAAAGGTGGCGGGTCATTAAAAGCCTGATAAAAGTCACTGAATCAATAGGGAGAAGTCATGAATATTAGTTGGGATATTTGAGATAAATACATCTTCATCTTCTCTGATGGCTCAGCAAGTAAAGATTCTGCCTGCAATGCAGGAGACACAGGTTCAATGCCTGGATGGGGAAGATCCCCTGGAGAAGGAGATAGCAACCTACTCCAGTATTCCTGCTTGGAAAATCCCATCGATAAAGGAGCCTGGCTGGTTACAATCATGGTGTCGCAGAGAGTCAGACACGACTGAGCACAAGGCACATCTTCATCAGTATCCATAAAAAGTATAGGTAACCTTCCCCTGGTGGCTCAGATAAAGAATCTGCCTGCAATGTGGGAGACCCAGGTTCAATCCCTGGGTCAGGAAGATCCCCTGGAGAAGGGAAAGGCAATACACTCCAGTATTCTTGTCTGGAGAATCCCATAAACAGAGGAGCCTGGTGGGCTACAGTCCATAGAGTTGCAAAGAGTCAGGCACGACTAAGCGATTAACACTTTCACTTCCACCCTTTTCATAAGAAGTCATAAAATTAAGGTAGATCCATGTTTACTAAATAATTAGCCTCCACTCTGTAAACCATATAAATCGCAATTCTCGGATCCTTGCTTAAAACATGGTACTGCATAGCTAATGGTCTTTCACCTGACTTTGTTCCCAGAAGCTAAGGTCTCTACTGTCTTTTCTCTGTGATTGAAAAAAAGGGAAATGACCACACCTTGGCTCCAGTCCTTACAAATCAGCATTGCCTTGCACAAGAGTGGTTTCTTATTTTCTCCTATTGCACTTGGGTATGATCCCAATGTCTGTGAAGAACGCTGTATCAGCACAGACAGCAGTAGTCATGGCCAGGGATGGGGAGGTGGGAACCTCGGCGACATAGCACCATGGAAAGGTACCCGAGGGGTTTAAGCAAGGATAACCAAAAGTTCTTTCCCTGTGTACCAAGCCACAGTTCACAGCAGCCCCAAGAGATCTGAAAGAGCCTTCTCAGAGAATACTCTGCAATGAGATAATACCCTGAGATACTATTCCTGCCTCAAATAAGGTTAATCTGGATGAAATCCCTTTCCTGCTCTGGATCTCTTGAAAATTGACTGATGTAAACTCCTGAAGAAGAAGAAAAAAGAATTATTTGGGGTGCCTAGTTTTTCTTTTTGCTGCCAGATCGATTGATCGGTAAGTCGATCTGTCTATCTATCTGGCTGGCCTTAAATCTTACAACATAGCCTTTCTGATCCCCCAGATGAGGAAACCGAACATCAGAAAAATTTAATTCTTATGGTACCAGGACTACCTAGGGTAGAAACTGGAATTAAATTCTTCGCTGACTCTTTGGCAATAACACACCACTGCAGAGAGATCTTGGAACACGTAGCACTGCCCCGTGGAGCTCAGCCTGCCCTGCTGGCAGAGTTTACACCCATCATTCTTTCCAGTGGAGAAGATGAGATCTGGACAGTCAGAAGTTTTGCATATTAAATGTGACTTCAAGTTCAAATGTGTTTTTTTAAATAACGGAAATCATAAATTTACATGAATGCTGTTTTCAAAGAAATTATATCATGTTAATATATTTCTGCTAATAATGCTACTTACTGTGCGATGTACATTTTAAAATATTCTTTTAGAATTACCTTACAAGAATATCAAGAGCAATTTCAATAGAATTCTTATTCCCTTATAACCCTTCCTTTCTCACCAAAATTGAATTATGTAACCTGATCATCCTTCTTACATACAAACTTGATTTCTAATGACTTCTGTATGCTCCCCAAATCAAGCCTGTCCTTAAATGGTAAAGATCGACTAACTGAGAATTAAATGAGGCTAAGTCAACAAACATTCATTACGCAACTACCGCATTCCAGCCACTATTACAAGCAATGGGAATATAGCAGTGAATATGACAGAGTTCTGTCCTCACAGAACCGACATGCCACTGATGAGACGTCTGTGGAAACATTTTGTCATCCACGAAGAAATACGTCTTCCTGATAATGACCAGCAATTTCTGAAGAGCGTCTCAATAGTGTAATTCCAAAAAGGTTTTGAGGTATAGTTAGCAATAGATATAAATATAACTTCTTAAGAGGGTCACTTAGAGGACATTCTATTTAAATCAGTTGTTAGTGTGTATGTGTGTTATCTTAAGCATTGGGTTATATTCCTTTAACTTCAGGTACCTTTCCTATGTGAAAATGAGGGTGCTTTTCTATGATTGTAACCTTAACTAACCTCTGGAAAAGTCCAAACCCAGAAATGCTAACAGGTCACTGAGTTATATTGAATAAACTTAAAGAACTCAGGTGGTACTGAATTTATTCCAAACTTTAGATGAAATGTTATGAGTCTTTGGATATCTCAGTGATCAACTGCCTTGTATTTACAGAGACCAGATCTTTGACATTAAGTAGGCCAAATGTTGGGTGATAACAGAAATGTTAAACATACTCTACATGTGCCTTTGGTGTGTAGGTATGCTCAGTCACAGATTTTGAAAGTAAATTTAGCAACTACATTCCAAAAGCCATTCTAACAAGAAAAGTATAAGAAAAATTACTCAATTATGCCTAACAGGAAAAACATAAGCAAATTTGAATAATATAATTTTTTTTAGTTTTTATAATTACAGCAAGAAAGAACACATGAACACTTGGTATTTAATGACAAGTACTAAAAAAAAAGAAAAAAAAAAAACTGGAAGCTACAAAAAAGCCCCACAGGAGGTTAGCAAACCTTATGTTTGAAATGATAGAAAATCACTTATATACTTGGTGAATTGTATGCCTTTAACTTAGCTGTTTAACATTTATTGAATTCAATATTACTTTTAACTGTAAAAATATAGCCCTTCCTTTTAAGAGGAATCCCCACCCCATCCATTTATTTAACCACCCTTTCTTTAATGTCTAGGCACAGTATATCTTTTTACATCAATGCGTTCTGGATCTCTTATCGAGTAAAGGAAATAATCAGCTCATCTGTTTTGTTAACTATTCAGCACTTCAGAAGATGGACTCTCTGGATGCCATGGAAGGTAATCAGGCACTGTATATCGACTTACGAGTTTACCACCCATAACAGGAGAATTAATTCAGTAATTACCATTTGCTGAAAATGGTTTAGAAGCTTGGCTAGCAAACATATCAATTTTTTAATTTCTCTCTAATCCAAGTCAGGATAATAGCCTTTCCATGTACTTATATTTTTATCATGAAACATTTAAATCTTTTTAACTGTTAACTTCAATTCTCTCTTATGGCATGTTTTTATGTTATAGGTGATGTTGAGCTTGAATGGGAAGAAACCACCATGTAAATATTCAGACCAAAGATTACAACTGGAAGATATTTTCAAACCCCAGGGGCCAAAATTATCCCCTTATTCTTCTGATTTGAAATGTACACCCTTAAGTAAATCTCTATGCTGCTCTTACTGTGCCTTACTAAACTTACATTTTATGAATAGTCCTAGGAAATAGCTAATTCAAGATAGTTGTCTGTTTTGTACAGAATATTATAAACTTAAATCGTTTAAGAAGAGATATCCCAGAGATTTCTGAAGCCATTCTGTATTTGGGGAACGAGCCAAATATAAAATTATACTTAATGCTTCAATGTGAATTTTCCCTGCATATTGGATTCAATCTTGAACAAAAGTTGTAAGTGTTGATTCAGTAGTGTTATTTTGGCCTCCAGGGTGTTGACTTTTCTCATGGATGACTTCCAGGACTGTCATAATGATCTGTACCTCCATGTAAGCTCCTGTGTTTTGAATCCTGTTTTATGAGTGCTGAGATACCATCCCATGATGTCGAACAGCTGACAGTGCCCCCCTGACACTCCCCGGATCACTTGGCCTTTATACAACACACAGTAGCTCTTCGGATACACTTAGGGCTATTTCAGTTGCACTGTAATATTTAGCTTGAAAAAACAGAAGGGAAAATTAAACACTGCAATTGATCATATGAAGTTGTCTGGTACTTTTCTAGCCTGTCTATATCTGTATGTTTTCAGGAACAAGCTGTACCACTATATTGTATGGTTAAATGTATCAGTATTTGTCCACAGATATGTATTCAACCTAATAACAGTTTTGAAGGATTTTTTCAGCAGAAATGTATGAAAACAGTAATAAAAAGGTAATGTGTCTCAAGTTTGAAAACCCATGATGTGCTGCTGTGGTGCCAACAGACTCTTCTGAATAGATTACATAAAATGATCTTTATTTCATTTCCTAAGGCTGATTATTGAGGAGTATATTTGGTGGAACTGAACACACAAAAAATTAAACTAGACCCTAGCAAATTAGAGATTTTTTTAAAGAAAATAACTCACCCTCCTTTTGTTAGATAGTAACAATGTGCTAAGTTTTGAACTATATGAAATTATTGCCATAGATTTCAATTAAGGGTCATAAAATAGTATTATTTTATTTCTTCTATGGTAAGAATCATAGTATGTTTATTTCTTCTGGAATACACATATAGAAAATGTAATGGCCAATAAAATTGAATTTTAAGGAACTGAGTTACTTTGCAGCATGATTTCAGAGGTCCTTATAAACAAAAATTTGATTTTGTATCACATATTAAGATATAAGTAGTGATTATCTTAACTGAAGTATATTATATATAATTACAATAATGTAATGTAGTATAAGTAATATATGATCATTTCCCAAGGTACTCAAAAATAGTAAATAATTTTAAAAATTGAATTTATCACCCAAGAAATTAAATCCTTTAGTTTTCCCAGCAATTCCGCTTTCTGCTTTTTTTTAATGGCAAGAGTGTGTAAATAAATACATTAATGTTCCAGCCAGAAAGTAAACCAGAAAATTTACTCTATAGAAAGTTAGAGAAAACAGTAAGAAATGATGAGAACTCTAAAATATTCAAATTGGACTGAAAAGTTCTTCAATTTGCTTCATGTGTCACTCATTGAAAACGTGTGGCAAGCCAGTACGTATGAATGTGAACTTTTGTATTCATGGAAGACAGACCTGTGGAACATACTGGAAGTCTACTTTTAAATGTATTAAATAAGAAAAGAAATAGTTCAATCCACAAGCAAGTCCATTTTCGATAGTATCTATATAAAGCAGAGTGCAGAATAGAGTTGACCCATGTGTAAGTGCATATAAAACAAACTTTTGAAATAAAGCCTCCTCTGAGAGTGCTTACCAGTCTTTCCTGTGCATACTAATCACCAGGGGATTGTGTTAAAATGTAGATTCTACTTCAGCAGGTCTAGGATAAGACCTAAGACTCATCTCTTCTGGAAAGTACTCAAGTTATACTGCTGCTTGATTTCAGGCCATACAATGAATAACAAATCTCTAAAAGACAGGATTAGAATAATTTTATTTCCACCTGAAATTATTTGAAACATGTCTAAAAAGATTCGTCTTCATTATATATAAAACACCTGTAACAGAGCACCTGTTAAGTGTATAGTTCACTAGTTGCATCACAAAACTGTAACTGAAACGAAATTGAAATTCACATATTAATGATAGCTAAATTTTCTCTTAATTATACTATGAAAAGGCTAGTTTACAGCCAAGTTTTATAGGTGGCTACCAAGTGCAAATTAAAATAATGAAGAACATCTGTAACTTTTTAGATCAGATTTGTCAAAATACATTGAAGCATATGTACAATAAATGAGCAACATGTGTTTCATCTGAACCAGATGAAACTGGAGCCTCTCAGAATTGTTTGTCAGAAATGAGAGCAGCTGTGGGTATCACCTCTACTTTCATGCTGTTTTAAAACGCATAATTTTCTTCTTTCACTTTATAGGTGAAATGTATGTCTTTTGAAAAAGCTAATTAAACCTTGCCCTCTTCATAGAGGAGATGGCGATTCATTCTTCACATCTGGTATCAAATACTAGATTTTAAAAATGAAATTGAAGTTCAGCAAACTATTCTCTAAGTCATGACATTATTGTGATGGGTCCATTTTTGTAGGCCGACTTTTAGAAAACTCACAGTAAAAATTTTGATGATGCCATTACCACAAAATGATCTGAAATTCTTAACTGCCTGATACTAAAAGTGAAAATGTGGAATAAAAATGTTTATAAAGCATAATCTTGGCTTGCCTTCTTAGGACAACTAATACTGTGTGGTAAATGACATCATAAACATGCATAAAGATACCATTTGGAATCAAAACTCATATACCAATCAGTTAATGAAGATGTTCTACAGAATAGATGAGATCACACATATGAAAGTGTTTCAAAAAGTACAAGGAATTGCACAAAGATAATTTTTTACAATATTTTATCTAGGCTGGACAGTGTGTATGCTTATCAGTAAGATAACACACCCTCTTTACGATTGTATGGTACCTGTGATATTAGTTCCACATTTGTATGTCTGTGTCACATGCACACATCAAAGAAAATTATAGCAGATATATTGGCTTCTGCTAAATAAGACCAGTAACACTTTCTTTTCATAAATGATTAAGAGCATTCCCAAGGAATGTCTGGACTAAAGTGAATAGATAAACATGTATACAGATAACAAAATGTGATTTGGAAAACAAATGAAGATGATTTCCATTTCAGATGTTTCAAATGGACATACCAAATCAGTGTCTGCAATAGTTATTTGAAAATAAAATTAACTCAACAGACAGTGATGAAAAGTACTATTCTCCCTTGTTAACGGGATTGTTTCTTTAGAATTGCAAGCTTGAATTATTTTCATTTTTACTGAAAGTATTAGATTGAGAAGTCATTTCAGTAAATTAGAAACTTTTTAGAATACTTTGACACCCATATAATACTTTTATACCTGATTAATCCTTATAAATTTCTCTAAGATTCTGAATTCCTCGGCTGTGTCCATTATCACAGATAAACATAATAAAAGCTTAATAGATGCACTTGAGGGCACATTTAGTAAAGATGGAAGCTGCATACATATCATAATCACGTCACTGAAAGCCAATGATAAAGATAAAATTTGTAAAGCTCACAAAGAAAAGAGACCTATTTAGGAGTTCAAGATAAGAAAATATCCTGGCTTCTATTTAGAAACAATGCAAGCCAACTGACAATGAAACAACATATTCAAAGTGCACAAAGTACCACCGAAATTTGATTTAATGGCAAATACAACATCTACAGCTAATGTCATGATAGTGAAAGTCACTCAGTTTGTCCAATTCTGCGATCTCATAGACTGTAACCCGCCAGTCTTCTCTGTTCATGGGTGTCTCCAGGCAAGAATGCTGGAATGGTTGCCATTTCTTACTCCAGGCGATCTTCCTGACCCAGGGATCAAACCCAGGTTTCCTGCATTGCAGGTACTTTCAACTGCCTGAGTCACCAGGTGAAATATTAGAGGCCTTCACCCTAAGAGCAAAAAAAGGCAAAAATGCCCACTTTCACAACTTCTGGGAAGACCCCTGGAGCAGGAAATGTCAACCCACTCCAGTATTCTTGGCTTAAAAATCCCATGGACAGAAGAGCCTGGCACACTACGGCCCATGGGGTTGTAAGGGTCAGACATGACTGAGCAACTGAGCTCATTCACAACTTCTATTCCACATTGTACCGAGGTTCCTAGTCATTACACTAAGGCCAGAAAAAGGTTTGTAAATGAAGAGATAAAACTGTCCATGTGAGTGTAATTATTTATGAGGAAATTCCTGAGGAAACTACAAAAATCGCTATGTATAATAAATAGCTTTAAAACATATTACAGAATATAAGATCAAGATACAAAAAAATCAATTTTATCTTGACAACTGAACTGGAAATGGTAATTAAAAATGCCATTAAGGATAGCATCCATAAACATGAAATGCTTAGAATAAGTTTAACAAAGTATCTGCAAGAACCATACACTAGAAACAATATTGATATGAATTGAAGCAGGCTTAAATAAAATTTTTATAATGCATGTCCATGAACTCAGAACATCAGTTCCCCTCATACTGATCTATGGATTAAATGGAATATCAATCCCACAAGGCTTTTTTTCTAGAAATCAATAAACTTGCTTATAATTTATATAGAAATGATGCAAAAAATCTAGAATAGCCAAAGTATTCAAATAGAACACTGCACTGATGTATACATACAGCATTTCTATTAAAAAAATACAAAGTAAAAGCAAAAAAATGGATTCTCACATAGCTGGTCAATTAGGTGTCAACAAAGGTGACAAAGTAATTCAATGGAGAAAAGATTGTCTTCCCAATAAACAGTGCTGGAATGACTGGATGCCCATTTGGAAAAACATGAATCGTCATCTTTAGCCTCATCCCTAGCCTATATAACACACACAAA